TTCATAAAAAGTGGTTGTGTCTCCCTTACCTGAAAGATTTCTTCCGATTTTACCTTTGCGTTCCCTCATTACTACCACGCTACCTTACACCAATCTCTTCGTTATTGTTCTCTTTTTCTTTTGCGCTCCTTAGTTTTTTTTCTACTTCTCTTCGAATTTTCATTGTTTTGTGTGGCGCATATATATTGGCGCTCTCTTGTACCAATATTCATGTGTTCAAATATATAATATATAAATATATAAAACATTGCATGATATTATCATACAGTCATTAACCATTTAAAATAAGAGAAAACAATTTTCGAGCTGAGTTTAGCTAACGTTAGTATTGTAACTTTGACGTTCAAACATTTAGTCGATTTAGCTAGAGTGTAGAGTAATTTGTGTGCCTGATCCAGAGATACCATGAAGTAATGTACCACAATAATTAAGTTCCTAACTGAAAAACTTGATCGATTGAGGAAACTACATGTATTTTTCTACAAATTAATCGAAATGTATTAAGATAATATTCAGTAATGAAGTACATAGCTGGTTTCTTGTGCTGGGCTAAGTACTTTGACTAATTCCACATTACATGGGATACTAAATACTTAATAACTTTAGGAGTCATTCAAAATAAAATGATGAAAACTGCATTAGTGTTGTATCTTTAAGGTACACTGCCAGCCTATTGCTTAAGGTAACTTGATAGACGGGTGACTAGATTATAAATTGGAGTTCCAAGAGCATAGGCTTGACTACAATTGAATTACATCATACACTTACATTATGAAACCCAAGACGGCTGGAGATAAAACTGTTAAAAACACTCACTCATTAGATGGTGTTTGGAGGTCCAGGAAACTCTGGACCCGAGGTCGAATCCGCCAGGGAGCACCAGTTCCTTCAAGATTACAGGTACACCTTGCTGGCGAGTGCCAAGTAGCACGAAACCCGGGTCCAGGGTTTCCTGTTGACTACCTCCAGCCACCATATAATCTCACAATAGTGCACGGAGTGTCGAGTCACGTAGGCTGGTGGCCACATTGCAACATGGTCGATAGCATTCGATCTGCACTAATAAGGACTAGACACGCAATCAATTGTGAACACTCACTCATTAGCAATACAGGCCGTATTGCTGCAAATATGAAAGAGTTGACATTCAGCGAATAGTTTATTATACATCATCGTTATCACAATGTTATCATAAATTATGGTTGCATTATAACTGATTGTTGTTCCGCAATTGTATGGATCAAGACCTTGGTATATCCTGTATGCATACAACTGTGATGATTAACCTCGTTGAATAATTAATGAAATAATAATAACAATCGACAAACAGATGTCGTTCTTGAAGTCAATTATTACTGAATCTGTCAAGAATCGGACATACCATAGGAAAACGGAATTCCTATTTACTTGTTAAGGATTCTTGTCACATAGCTATTAATTTTCTGAAGTAAGTGATTAACCAGTAATTTAAAACTTTTCAATAACCACAGTAACCACCGAACATGAATTTAAAAACAACATAAAACTACTTTCAACGTTCACTACAACTTCCTTCTTTTCGCTAACGAATGTAATGAGTAACTATCATCTGTTTTGTGAGATTTCTGTTTCGTGAAGCTATGTTCGAATTTTGCCGAACCGAAGAACCTTTGATCTAACAATCTCTGTTAAAAAAATAACGTACAGGTCTACTGAAGCTATATTAGACCTATTTGATGTAATTCTACTACCATTATTCTCAGGTAGGAAGCACCATAAAAACGCAGGAATTTTATTTAGCTACAGAATACAGAGCAACAATCTATTATTGAAGTGATCCTTAAACAAAAATGTTTTAAAAATTATCCAGCGATTACTTATGGGTGTATGCTAGAAAATCGAACCTGAATGTAATCTGGTCGACCATTTTGTGCTATTCATATACAGAATGCCACCGTCATTTCAACCCTTCAATATCATCTAAACTAAACTGAAGTAATCAGCGAGTGATAGGATTTTAACTTATTCGGAATAGAGATCATAAATCTAGAAATAAGTATTTACGTAATCAGTTCACAGTAATTAGAAGTAATAATGAGTAATGCTCAGTTAAGTGAAAAGAGTGCTGGTGGTTGGCTTATGCTCCTACACAAGGAGCAACAGGGTTGAGCAAGTAAGTAAGTGAATTCATAAGTCCAAGGAACGCTAGATCTCCATTTAAAACCTAGAAGCACTAGATTAATGATTGCTCAGCCATTCATGGGTCGGTGGAAGTTAGACATTAACACCGTTGCATGCCAGTTCAGTAGTCCATAGTTTAAGCGTTCGCGAGTAAGTCCGAAAGTCCACAGTTCGAGTTTCATATGCAGGATTGTAGACACGTACTGCTAAGGTGTCCCATACTAGAACGAAACAGCCGTTCAGTACTTCCAGGTTTTCATTGGTGGTCTAGCTTACATCAACTAATGAATTCAAGTATTAAAATTACTAAAATCTTCACAAATTCCATCGTGATAATAAAAGTTAAACGAATATTAGAAAAATGTTCGTTTATAAAAATTGAAACAAAGTCATTGAAATCCAGATGTTCATATCGAATGAAAGCGATTGTGGTTAAAAGAATATTATCTTACTGTTGAAACGAAGTTCATGCAGGGCTTGTCATCACATGATACTAGAAAATTAAAGAATATAATTTACTTACGTCTCCTAAACCTCTGTTTTATTTTTTCCATATTTTATAGAGGAAAAGAGGCTGCAATTAAACTCAACTCGATTTCGTAATCGTAGCAGTCTACTTAGCGACCAATCAGAATGAAGCGGGAATTATCATATACTCCATCTTTGTAGATAATTGAGCCTATAAACCCAAAACACGAACTACATGCCAGTATGATATATCTAACAGACGACAAACGATATTGTTTTGAAACAGAAGACAATAGTTTACAGCACAACAAACCATTCTCCAGTAATACTATTTATTCACCATTTCTAACACTAATGAGTTTGACTGTCGTGTAAGCGGTATAGGTCACGTTTGGCCTGTTCATGCTGTGCATAATTTATTCACGCGATCATTGATCAGAATAATCATACATGTGACGTGGATGTGTATATAAATGGTCCACCACGATGCTTGGTACCTGTATGGTTGCGCCACAGGATTGAGCTGTACTATTCAGATTGTAGCGTTAAAGCCCATATGGTGTCTAGTTCTCCTGTGAAGAGGGATTGAGCTGTATTGCTCGGGTTATAAATTTTAAACCTAGATGATTTACTGTTGTGTTTTTAGCAGATTACCGTTTTAGACTGATTTTTATTCTGAACTGTAAAACCTGTATATCAGTATAAAACCTTGATGATGAACTAATAGAAAGGAAATATTTCTTTGCTCAGCATGTGCTTTTAGTTACCTTGATGGGTATAATTACTGAATATTTCAGACAGTGAAGAAACTTTTTATAGCTAGAGTGATGTGATTTTGGTGACATTGCTCTCTCTGAGTTTTATTACTTATTTGTGAAGTTTTCATAATCTTTCTGGACAGTATTGTCTTCGTGTACTTCGTAAAGAAGCTATCTATTAGAAATTCATTGTTTACTCACTCATTTATGGAAATGATAAACAACCATAGGGCAGAGAATTATATCAAAGCGTAGGATAGTTTAAACAATTGTATAGAAAATGCTCGGATGGATATTAGCCATAATTAACGAGACTGACCGTCGATTCAATAAGTTATTAGTCACTTGTAGTGTATCTCTGGTTGTAATGACATGTTAATCGATGGATAGAGACAATTCATTTGTAGTACTTCTATGATTTTTCTCTATTTCATTTATAGACTGGTATACAAAGCTTTGATGAATGAAATGTGTCGAATGGCAAGAGGTAATCTCAAGCAAAACACAAACGATTATAGATCCTTTTGCTTTCTAGAAATCAAATTTAAACAACCTATTCAATTTCAACACTGTCTACTTTTAAAATGTTGATATACCGTAGTACATTTTCCTATATTTCTATTTACTATAATATCCTTCTTTGTATATAGTTTATTTTACAAGAATCTAATAATCTGTTTGTTGATTACAAGATTGAAAATGTTAAATGAACACAGTATATGGATTGATTTATTTGTCAAAGTATTTGAATGCTGACAGAATGTGAGACTATGCATGTAAATAATAATGCAAATACTATGCGATTGTTTTTTTTTCAAACAGTTGAGATCATGAGTCAATTGAATCTAGATCACCATGGAAAACCTGGAAGCACTGGATGGCCAACTCATCCTACTGTGGGACTCCTCAGCAGTGCGTATTCACGACACCGCCTCACAACATTCGAACACAGGACCCATCAGTCGAGCGTGACCACTTAATCAACAAGACCACTCAGCCGGCTGGCATCCTACGGTGCTAATGTCTACCTTCAACTAATCCACGAAATTCAACGACACATTCACCATTTTCATCAGTGAGTTACTACCTCATAATTGACCCGGTTGAACTCCACTATATCTATATGATTGCTTATCAATTATAATAATAATAATAATAATGATTATTATTATTATTAGGATTATTCAATATTATATTTTTAGTATAATATGGAATTACCAGCATACAGTACTTCAACAAGTTTCCTGTTCTTGTTTCTTGATGGATCCTCATGATAAACAATGAGTGATCGTCAGTTATATGTTTACTGTTTAGGAATAGATATTTGATTAATGTATACTGTTTTTGATGTATATTGCCAGCAATCATGATATCTCTGATTGAAGTGTTTTTGTAACTTGTACAATGAAAGGAGATACAATTTATATAAACGCTCCTGAACAGGTTATGTGGTTAATAGACATAATGATGTATTAAAATAAACAAGAAACAGGTGGCTCTGATATATTTAAGCAGGCTGCCTCATGCTGTGATGTTAAAAATGATACTTATCAACTTGGCATTTCATTTTTGTTAGAAATGGTATTATTTTATTCGTTGTTTTTGAGATTCCCTATGTATGATTTCTTTCGTTTACACCGTGGGTAAAACTCTTTTTTTTTTTAGTTTGTTTTAATAGGCTAATTTTCTGTCCTCCTCCTCCTCTTCCTTCTCCTTCTCCTCCTCCTCCTCCTCCTCCTCCTCCTCCTCCTCCTACTACTACTACTACTACTACTACTACTACTACTACTACTACTACTACTACCACTACTACTACTACTACTACTACTACTACTACTACTACTACTACTACTACTACTACTACTACTACTACTACTACTACCATGCTAACTGTAAATCAATTTATACGCATTAGATGATTCTTTAAAATGGTCTTTTTTCTTAATCTTTCTCAATAAATCTTCATGACAAGGATTTTTTTTGTCTGGTAGTGTGATGAGTGGGTTTTAATTTTTATCTGAGTTATCCAAATCCCACTAGAAAATTTCTTCTCATGTGAACATATCGTGCAGTTTTTCCAATTTCTAGCTTGTGAGAAAAAATAATTAATGTGGAAAGAGTAGTAAATCATTGTAATTGAATATATTTGGTGTTCATTGATGCTCATTGATTTTTTAATGATCTTTAAAACGGTTGAAGATTGATATTTAGACATGTGACGAATTTACACTAATATTCTTATATTCGCTGTTCAGAACTGTTCAGTATAATCAGACATATTACGTTGAAGATGCTGGAAAAGATTTGTAGCTCAGGTGAATGATTTTGATGGGGATTTATTCTCTGAGCTAGACGGTTTATTCGTGGAGCTTTCACCATTCTTCTGAATGACATCATTAGCACAAACTTCAGGTGGGAGTGAAGTGTTTGAATTCCTCCACATGTGGTTCACAGGTCAGCAAGAACCAATCAATGTCGATGGTGGCCTAGTAATCTATAGACTAAGCGTCTACATGTAAAGTCGAAGGTTCCAGGTTCGATTTCATTTGACGTGGTTGTAGATGCTCAGTGCTGAGGAGCCCCATACTAAGACGAAGTGGACGTCTATTATTTCTTGATTTTCAATAGTCATCTAGCTAGAATCAGTCCATAATTAACACTATGAAAATTCTATGATCTCCACAAATCTGCATATACTGATAATTAACTACTTTGATCATTGAACTTGATACTAATTTATTTTGATTTCATTCAATAAACACTTATAATACTGAACATCAAAGTGTACGTGATATTTACGCTTATTAAATAATAAGTGTACACGCAATTTCATTAATTTTCTTAAAAACATCTATCAACATTTTCCATAAAAAATATTAAGAATGTCTATTGTTTAAATCAATTCATGGAGAAACTCGAGTAAATCACTAGTCGACAGATGATGTTTATTATTAAATAATTCATTTGACTAATTTCTTTAACATTTGAATAACACTTCGACTACATGTCAAGCTGATTTACATGCCTATCGTGTGGTGATACTCTATTCAGCAAAACAACGGATTACAGTGTAAAATCATGCATGAAGGACAGCTGACAGATGCATTCCAAGTGAGGATCGGAGGCAGACAAGTGATCGACCGAATTATGAAGACCTCGACATCACAGGAGAAACACGGGGTACAGTGAACAGATCGGAATCAATTAGAAGATTTGGACTTTACAAATGAACGACACTGTTATATCCGGTGAAGATTAAACTACAGGCAAATTCCAAGGACTATTCATGGACTAATATTCTATAAATATTCTTATTGTATAAATACTCAACAATTACACTATGGATATTTATATTCCTTTTATGATAAGCTTTATTTTGATCTATAATTTATTATTGTACGATTTACGGTTCTTAAGTTATGTTCAGTTTATTAACTACTGCCTCCCACATTCACAGCCACTTTTTGGGCTTATTTGTGTACAAATATTATTTCCTACTTTATGGTACGTTTCGGTCTGTGTGATTGATATATAAACCAAGTATGCCTGAAATAAACGATCTGCTCTGATTCGGAAGCTGGTGTTGTGTTCTGGACTCAAGTGGAAGGGCTCGTAGGACATAGGACCAATAAGGACGCTAACTGCCCACACCGGTTGAACGTCATTGGTTGGCCTAGTGTGAAGATTCGTATAAGTCGTATTCGGATTGGTAGATAAATCGTGTGATCGAAAAGTCAGACATCCAAGGTCATAACAGACACCTCTTATCCCACACACACGAACAAATGCAGAGGAAGACAGTCAGTAAAGCAGCAGCCTCTGTATCAGCAGGCCTCAACATACACAAAGCAAAATGCAAGATCAGCAAATACAACATGGAGAACACCAACTAAACCAATTACACTTGATGGAGATACCCTGGATGATGTGGAATGTTTTACGTATCTGGGAAGCAGCATCGATGAATAAGGAGGATCAGATGCAGACGTAAAGGCGAGGATCTGCAAAACAAGGACAGCATTCCTACAATTGAAGAACATATGCAACTCAAAGCAATAGTCTGTCAGACAATATCAAAGTGAGAATCTTCAATACCAACTTCAAGACAGTTCTACTATACGGATCTGAAACTAAGAGAACTACCGTAACCATCATCAAGAATGTACAAGTATTTATAAATAGTTGTCTAAGCAAGATATTCAACATTCATTTACCGGATACCATCAGCAACATCATTCTGTTGAAAAGGACAAACCATCTTCCAGCTGAAGAGAGAATTAGGAAAAGACGATGGAAATGGATAGAACATACATTTAGGAAATCATCAAACTACATCACGAGACAAGCGCTAACTTGAAATCCTGAAGGGGAGCGTGAAAGAGGAAGGCCAAATAACACATTACGTTGGGAAATGAAAGCAGATATGAAAATGATGAATAACAACTTGAAAGTATTGTCCAGGACAGTATTAGATGGAGAATGCTGGTGTTTGGCCTATTCTCCTCTATGAGGAATAACAGGCAATCCAAGAACTACTTCAAATATCTTAACTAAACAATCAATTCATGTTGTATATGCATCATAGCATAAACAACGATTGATTCCAGATATTTCAGTAGTAATATATAAAAGGATAATTTTCGCAACGAATTAAAAGAAAACCTTAAAAAGATTTGACATTTCCTAATATCTATGATGTATCTAATCATATGAAAAATTCCAATTATTTAATATGAGTTCCATTATGTAGTATTATCAATGGTTCCCTTTTCATGTATACATATATATATAAATGTTATATTAATACAAATGATGGCACTTCAAATTATAACATTGTTCTGGATAATGTTACATCTGTCATTAATCATGTCATTAAACGTGATTACTTTAGGTATTCCCTGATATACTATATGTATATATATATAGTTGTATAGATATCTGTTGTGAATATCATTACAGAAATTACAACGATTTACAGGTATGATCGAATTCATTTGAAAAAAAAAATAGAAAGAAATAGGATTACATTTTAGTGGCCCATAATCTGACTCCAGCAAAATTCATTTATGTATGCTATTGAAATATATATATGTCGCCTATCCTCGTATGTATATTCATCGACTTAACTCAAGTTGGTGAATAACGGTAGATACTTGACAATCCTTTAGGATGATTAGTAAGCAACCAAACTCCAGTCTTCTGAAGTTTGCTGAAGCTGTTGCCATCAAGCGTCAAAAACTTGACGTATATGTTCAAAAGGAGACGGTTGTTAATCTTTCCTTGCCTTGGTGACAAATATTCTTTCGCTGCACCTTAAAAAATTTTTTTCTTTTGTATTTACTACATCATTGGTTAGATTTTTCAACTATCTTTCAAATGAATAATCTTTCAACTGAACTCTACTCACTACATTCCTTCAATGTTATTCATTATGTAATCGATTGTTTCTAACCCACTTTTGAATTGTTGTCACAATTAATGTTGTAGAATATTCTTTCACATTAGGTATATATTTACAATATTCAGTAAGCAATTAAAACCCATTATGTAATTATGAGGATTTTTAAATATCACAGGTTGTAAGCAGCTGACGAGAACCTACGAAATAAAAATGAATTCATGCTATTCTGCTAGAATGTTTGTTCTTGCTCTTTTCAATAACGGAATTGAATAAGTCAAATAAAAGAATGAATTTCGAATATGTACATTCTTTGATCCAGATAAAATATCGAAGAAGCGAATAGAATAGACGCACAGTGGAGATGGCGGGTAAGCCAACATCATTTAGTCAACCGTTAATCAATATTTATAGTCACACAAAAAATAAGCTACACACATGTAATGAATAGAAGAAGAAATGTATACACACGTATATGCGCTTATATCAAAACAGTCAAGATGGAGGTGAAAATATAACTCAAGTAGAATGAACATATTGGCCTGTCTGAAAGCTAGAATAAGGTATATGGGTTTAACATAATAACCCATACTACAACATCATTTAATGAGACTGTTGTTTTTGTTATTTTCAAGGGTTGGTTATAAAGATTTTGATAGTATGAATTATATGACATAGGAAAAATGTGGTGAGATTATAATTTATGGGCGTTATTTGAACGACTTTCAAGTGACTTTAAAAGGCCATCTAATAACTAGGACCAGATGAGGGTTATAAACCAGTAGAAGGAATTGGAATTATGATTTACAGTTGATGATTAAGATTAGGAATTGGTTTTCATCACGAACTGACATTAGTTACAATGCCAAAACTCTATTTCGCCCCAAAATCCGAGACCTGTTATCTTATAACTGATGGGTTCGTCCATAAATTAATGTCTTACCAAAAATGCATATTCAAAGTATTCACCGTAATAGTCATCAATCTTGTAATCACAAAATTGTCTTCAGTAAGCTATTTTAGAATATAAAAGTAGTAAGTAAACGACTCAACGACAATATCATCAGCATTTTAGAATAATTGATCTAATACAGGATGCAATGTTCAAGAAGCAGAATTGTTTTAATGTAAAGAATGAAACATCATAAATACGAATGTGTAGTAAAGAGAAATGGACGATTCCCGTCTCATTATAGAGTACCGAAAAACAAATGAAATCAGTAAACAGGTAAAAATAACAAAAATGTAAATACACAATATTGTAGTCATTTCTTTAGGTACAATTTAATAATGCATTATTAATTATCCGAAGAGGGTTTTATGGAGATTTTAGTAATTTTAATTGTTGAGATCATGAGTCACTTCAAGATGTATATTCTGGAGTTCTAGTGAGAAGCAGTAATCAGAGGAGTTCAACCGGATCAGTTGTGAGTTAGTAACTCACTGATGAAAATGGTGAATGTGTCGTTGAATTTCGTGGATTAGTTGAAGTTAGACAATAACACCGTAGGATGTCGGCCG